ATAATTATTTAAATAATAATAAAAAAGTTTTATTAAACATATAAAAATTTCATTATAACTAATATAATATAAAAAAAATATATATTAAGTAGAAACTTATTAAAAAGTAAAAATTAAATCAATATACATAATTTTTAATATAAATAATTATTTATTTTATAAATTATTATTAAAAATATAAAATAAAAAAAATTAAGTTTTATTTTAATTCTCTCTTTTATGTAAAATAAAAAAATGATTTTGAAATATAATATTATAATGAAATAGATTATAAATATATATAATTTATATACATAAATAAATATATTTATATATATATATATAAATATATATACATATATTTAAATTTATACATCTAATTTTATTCTTATATATTTTTTTCTTTTATTATAATAGATATAATATTATAAGTTATAAATTCTTATAAAATTTATAATTAAAATTAAAATTAATTTAAAATTATTATAATTATAAAAATCATTTTAAAAATATATATATTTAAATTTAGTCTAATATAATCCAGAAACATATAATAATTAAAAAAATATAAATTGTTATATATTATATTTATTTAATAAAATTTTTGTATCTTCAATTTAAATTTTATTTTAAATAATATTCTATATTATTTTGTTTAAATGGGTTAAAGCTTATATTCGATTTATTGCCATCTCCATAATTTTTTTTTTAAACTATTTATTCGAAGACTATAAATTAGAATTCATATAATCTTGCATCCTAAAATTATTAATATTGGGAGTAAAACATTATTTAATATCAATACCTATAATTTTATTTAAAGGACTTTAATTTTGATTATTATATTTAGATATATTACAAATTACTTTGCCTTTAGTTTTAGATGAAGAAACCTAGCTATTATTATTTTTGAAAAAGTTATTATCACTACTAATATTATTACTATTATTATTAAGATTAGCACTTAAATTAGCTACATTATGACTACAATTATTATTTTTCTATTGTCTTAAAAACCTTAGTCCTTTTTAAAGTTTTAATTTTCTTAAGGAATAATATCAGGCTAAGTTTTAACATTTATAATATTTATAGTATTTATTGGTTTTGACTACATATTAGCTTTAAGAATATTATTTTTAATATTTTTTAAATTTTAAAGTCCACTTTATTATAATTAATTAGTAAACTATTTTTTAGAAATATTATTTATTTTTACTATTCTCTATTTAAATTTTATTCAATTCTAGAAAAATTATTCAAACTTTCATCATCTATCATAGAAAACAAAGAACTCCATTCATCAGTATAAACTTTTTTTTTTATGTTAAATTTCTTATTACTATTGTTATTAAAATTTAGTAATATTTTAAATTTCCTATTTTAATAAATTAATTATTTCCATATTCGATTCATGTGTTTTTTTAAGTTATTTCTCTTAATCTTCTAATATATTATATTATGAAATTACATGCTTAAGTTTGACTTTATTTTAAAAGTATTTCTCATTTATTATTTCATTCAATTTTTTTAATTTAATAATTTCTTCTTCCAAAATAATATTTTGTTATTCTTTTTTTACTTATAATTTTTATTTCCAAACCCTAATTTTTCCTTATAAATCTCCTGTAATAAAGAACTCTTCTTATAGACCTAGAATAATATTAATTTATCCAATATGAGGAGTTTCAAATTATTTAAAAGTAAAATTTTCCAAGTCCAATATTTATAAATCGTTTCCTTAATTAAGTATTAATTAATTCTAATTCTAAATTTAAAAAGTGAAAATCTTTGAATAAAAATTAAATTTCTAAAAAGCACATGAATTAAGAATATCATAAATATAAATATTAAAAATTTAATTATTCTCTATATTATGAACTAAAATTATAAATAAATTCTAATCTAAAGGATGCCCTATTATTTATTGAGTTTCTTGATTCTATCCTAGATTGATTTAACTATTTTGTAAAATTTATCCATTTTCACTATCTATAATCTCCAAAAAACCATTCACACTACAATAGGTGATAATATTATTTCTCATGAAAAAACTCGAAATCTAATTACCACAAAAAAACTCTTTTTCGCATTAAAAAGTATACTCATATTAATTAAAAGAATATAAAACAATTCTATTTTAACAATCTAAAATTATCAAAAATTACCCTTAAGACTAAGTTTAGAAAATATCATTAAAATGAGAAAAAATATTTTAGACTTTTTTATTTTTCCAATCAATAATAATCATAAGATTATTCTAGATTCCTATCAGAAACTCATTTATACAAACTAATTTTTTACAAGGATAATCAGTTTTAAAAGCTTTCTTCTATTAACCAGTTCTCCAATTCCAAACTTTGATCTATTTATCTTAAGAACAGCTTGCAAAATAATATTTTTCAAGTTTTATCATATCTAAAATAATATCTTTATGAGCTTAAATTCCTTTAGTATTTTTAAGTTCTTTTGATTTAATTTATTCATTTATTTCTAATACTAAAAAAATTACATTTTATATTATATTTATATTTATATTTATATTTATATTTATATTCTTTTTAATATATTTATTTTATTATATACTAATATTTTCAGTAAAGCTATCATCTTTACCACTAATCCAATTTTGTAAATCATTATTATGTTCTTTTTATATAATTTTTATTTTATATTAATTTTAAATAATATATGCGAATCCAATAAAGCAAAACCCACCTAATTAGTTTATATTAGAAGAAAAAATAGGATATTCTTAACTAGGAGGATAATTAAAAGTATCTTAATCAATAAAATTAATAGAAGAAAAAGTAAAAATATTAATAATTTAATTGGATAATATTTAAAGTGAATTTTTTTCATTAAAATATTCCTATAAATCTTCTATTTAAAGTATTCCACTGGGATTTATGTTATTTATAGGGGTATCTAAGACCATAATTACAGAAAAATTTTATTTTATATATTGAGCGAAGTTATCATATATTATAGATTTATCATAAAAAACTGACTTTATTTATATTTATTGACCACATTTAGTTATGAATGTAAATTATAAATTAGTATGCATATCCTTTGTATTTATTATATTAGAAATAGAACATATTATTTATTATTTCGATATTAAAATTGCATACGATTCATATTTTTAATTGTTTTTAAAATAAATTAATCGGCCAACACATTCTAGTATATTTTAGTTATTTTAAGAATTTAATATTAATGTATAATTTTATAAGTTTTAAAGTGTTTAATTACATTTATTCATTTTTTTAATTTTTTTTTTTTTTATTATTATTAAAAAAAATAAAATAAAAAAAAATATAATATTCGTTTAATTTTTTTTTTATATTTATTTTATTTTAATAATAAATTTATTATTTTTATTAATTTTTATTTTTTGTCAAACATATCATTAAATATATGTGAAATAATAAATTATTAAAACAAATAAATATTACAATAACAATTAAAATGAATAAAAACATAAATAAATAATAATTTCATATAAATATTAGATTAATATTTTTTAAATAAATTAAAATTATATATTATACTTTATTTAAAAACATAAATATTATATATATATATATTTTTTTTAAATATAAAAATATAGCAATATAATTTAATTTATGTATATAAAAAAAAAATGATTTTTAATCTTTCTTAAAATTAGAAAAAAAAAATATTTACAAATTATTAAAAAAGTTTTTATTCTATATATATATATAAATTATATTAATATTTTTTCAATAATTAGATTTATTTATACTTTTTATAATACTATTGTTGCTACTTTTATCAATAAATGAATTTTTACTTAAATTTAAACGTGAAAAATTTTATTTTATATTTTCATGTTATTTAACTATTTCTAATTTAGTTCTATCATTAAGCTTTTTTTTATATTATTTATGTAAAGATTATAATAAATATAATTTAATACATGTAAGTATTCATTTTAATTCGTTTTTATTGTATATAATCTGCTCATCATTTCTTAAAACTCTTCTTTTTCTAATTTTCTTTCTTTTGATTTAACAGGATATAGCATTGTTTGACCATCTAAACCTTTTCTTTCACATAAACCTAAATTTTTTAAACATCTATTAAAAAATTCACTATCTTCTTCTTTCATCCACTTTATTTTTAAAGTAGAAATATATTTTTATTTTATTAATTTTTATTCTTACATCATCTATTTTATTTAAACATTATTTTGCTAATTCTTCTTCTTCTTCGATTAATGGAAGGAGTTTATTATTATTTTCTTCTTATTAGTGTTTCATTTTATTTTTTAACTTTAAATGTAAATAATTAAAATATTTTATTTAATTTTTTAAAGTTAATAAGAATTATTTACTTTTTTATCCATTTTATATTATTATTAGAAATATTTTATTTATGAAAAATATATAATTGTAATTTTAATAATAATATAATTTTTTTTTGAAAAAATAATAAGTTATAAATAATATCAATAAATAGAAAAAGTTTTATAATAATTTAATAAATATTAAGAAAAATATTGATTTATTTTATTTAAAAGGGAAATTAATATTTCTTCTCTAAATTTTTTCAAAAATAATTATAGTATAGAAATACAAATGAATAATCGTTAATTAATAATTATTAATATTAATATTAAATATATATGTATATATGTAAATATGTATATATGTATATATGTATATATGTATATATATATATATATATATATATAAATATATATATATATATATTAGTTATATTTTTCTAAATTTTAGGATAAATATTTATTTGTTTAAAATATTAGAGAAAAAAATTAATTAATCCAAATAATTAAAATGAAAAATTTAAAATATTTTTTTAATCTAGTTTTTTTTTTTATTTATCATATATAAATTACTTATAATGCTTTTTATATATAATATTTATACTTATCTTCTTTAAAATTTATAAATTTTTTTCTTATAAATTATACATTATAAAAAAAATATCTGATAATATAAAAAAGCTATAATTATAAATTTATTATTCCAACTTTTTTAAAAAAAAATAATACAAAAAAATTTTAAAAGAAATAATTTCATTTATTTTGTTTTTTTTTTATTTTTTTTAATTAAAAAATAAATATATACTTATAATATTTTCATTTAATTTAATAAAAAAAAAAAAATTATAATAAAAAAAAAACAGAAAATAAATAAAATAAAAAAAGAAATGCAATAATTTAATTCTAATGGCTTGTAAATATAAATGGATCATAATGGAATAAGAGTAAAAAATGGTAATTAAGTCATATAAATGAATAGTAACGGAATAACATAAAATAACTAAAAAATAACTAAAAATACATATTATCAAAACAATTCATTTAGTAATTCTTTTAATTTTTAATTTTCAACATCTAATTTTGCCAATTGTTTTAATTAACCTTTTTTTACTCAAAACTAATCAAATTAAAATTAAAATTTTAGAACATATTGTACTTATAATATTAATAATAATAACTTTCATAATAACTAACAAAATTATAATGATGAAGATTAATATGAAGAAGATGATTATGACTAAGATTAAGATGATAATAATGATTAATAAATGTATGATGACGATTAGTAAATGTATGAAGATGAATCTTAAGTATATGAAGATGATGATGATGAAGAAGAAGACGAAGAAAATTAAAAAGGATTAACTAAAGAAGAAATTAATTCTATTCCTTGCATTATATATACAAGGAGAAAAATTAGAAATAAATAAGATAAAAATGCTAACTTTTCTACTAAAACAAGCTGTTCAATTTGTATTAATGATTATTCAGAAGGCGAATATATTAAGATTCTACCTTGTTCTCATTAATTTCATAAGAATTGTATCGATAAATGGTTTTAAGATAATTCTAATTGTGTGGTTTGCAAATAAAATGTGATTTAATGAATTTATAATATTTATTTATTTTAATATATTATGATTAAAAATATTAGTATTATATATTCATTAATTTTACTTATTTATGTTTTTATATTTTTTAAAAATAAACTTATATATATGTTTTAATTATATTTTATCTTAGAAATAAATGGAATTTATATTATTTGTATTTGTATTATATTCATTTTCTTTTTTTAAAACTAATAATACAAATTATATTATTTTATTTTTTTAAAAAATAGTTAAAATAAATATTATTTAATAATATTATTATTCAAAAATTAAAATAAAATATATATTATATATTTTTTTTAAATATAAATATTTTTAAATTATATATAAAAATTATTTTATTATCAGTTTTTTCACTATATAATATATATATATTTCATAAGAATATTTTATATTTGAATTTATGAATATTTTTTACATTTTTTTTTATCAAAATATTTTATATCTCTATGTTTTCCATTTTATTTTTTAATAATATTAAATCATTTTTCTATAATATTAAGTACTATAATTTATTTCAGATTTTTTTTATATATATAATAAATATATTAAGCAATATTTTTATTTTTTAAATATAGAAAAAATAATCATATTACTTGTTAAATTGTTTATAAAATATTATTTTAATTTCAAAATATAATCTTATTTTTAAGAATAAATAAATATTTTTTATATAATTTTTTTTAAAATTTATTATTAATATACCAGCTATATTTTTATAATTAAAAGATAAACTTAAAAAATATTAGACCAAACTTAATAATAAAGACCGTTTTATATAACTTAAAAATACAAAGACTTAATTTTATGTTTAATTGAAAACAAATATAAATACTTAATTCGTATCAACAATATACTAAATAAACATAAAATAAAAAGAATAGATTTCTACCAAAAACTAAGATATAATATATAACACTTCGAATTATTATTTTATAAGAAAATCTTTTAATTTAAATAATATTAATTCAACTAAAAAAATGATATTTAAATATAAGATAAAAATAATAATATTGAAATGAATATATATAAAAGTAAATATCTAATTTATATTATAATAATAATAATATGAAATAATTATAATATTTACTGTATATATATAGAAAATCAAAACTTTGAGCGAATACCAAAAATAAATACTTAAACGATATAAATTAAGGTTAGAACTATATTTAATTAAAAAAAGGATTATAATAATTAAAACAAATTAAAAAGTACAAATAATTTTGAATCATCCTTAAAACTTATATAATTAATAAAAAATAAATATAATTAGTAATTTTGAATTTTCTGATATAATTCTATTTACTTCTAATTAATTAAGCAAATGAAAATAAATTAGATATATATAAAAAATAATTTTATAAATAAATGAATATAAAATAAATACAATAATATTAATTAAAATTATTATTTATAAATTATAATAAAAGTATTTTAACTATAATAATGTAAAAAAGCATATTTATAATATGATTAAAAAATATAAAATTTATATATAATAACTATAATAAAAAAATAATATAATATATACTTTTATATATTAATATATATATTCAATTTTTTTTTATTTTTTTAATTAATATTTTAAATATTTTCATAACTATATAATGTTTTTTATTTATAATTATATATGTCTTAAAAATCATGTTATATTTCTTAATTTTTAATTTATATATTTTTTAATAAAATAAAATAAACTAAATATTTTTCTATCACAATAAATCGGTTTGGGATAGTATTCTTTTATTTTAATTATGAGCAACATCAATAAAAGTGCAAATATCATTTACGTAGGCCTTTGCCATATTAGCAACATCAGTTTGAATGAGAACATAAGCTTTTATAATAGCAAAAAAATAATATATATATAATTTTTTATATATGCATTTAATAAAAATAAATATATTTTATATATATATGTAATAATATATATATATATATATATATATAACTATATCAATATCAATATTATTATATTTATATATATATTTTATTTTATTTATTTTTATCTTTATTTATTTATTTTATTTCTATTTATTTATTTTTTAATATAAATTACTGTCAGTTTTAATATTGTTTTCAACATAATCAATTATCTGACGCCCTTTGAATGAGTTTCTTAAAAAGTCTTTTGCTTAATACCAGTTACTATCATCAATATTAATGTCACTAAGACATAAGGACATTTTATCTTTTCTTTCTATATATTATTTATTTTTAAATTTATTTAATTATAAGCTCTTATTTTAATATTTAAATAAAATACCTCTAACTGGATATGATTTAAATAATCTTTAGTAATAAGGAACTGGCCATTAAGAAGTTGACATAACTCTATCGACCATAGGTCTTTCAACTAAAGAACCCCATTACAAGTTGAAATTTTTATGTGCTAGTTTTTTTATTTTTTTTAAATTATTTTTATTGTTTTATTTTTTAAAATAATTATTATTATGTTCTTTTGTTGCATTTTTTTTTTTACGCTTGTATATTAATGAAGTTGTTGCTTTAGTATATTTTAAAGAATGCATATTTTAAGTCTATAAAAATAAAAAAATATTTAATATTTGATATATTTAAATTATTACTTTTATTAATAAATAAATTTATATTAATTAGTATATTTTTTTCCTCTTTAAAAATAAAAATATATTAAAAATAAAAACAATTATTATACTTATTAAGTTGATATTTAAAAAATAATAATGTTATTTATAAATCTATATTTATTTGAAAAAGAAATTCATATTTTATTTAATTTTTCAATTCAATTAACTTCCAGTTATAAATGAATTTTTTTTTTTAAAAAAAAATGAAATTTATAAAAATTTATTTTTTACTTTAATATATAAATTATATTTTAATTATATTGTATAATCATAAAAATTTGTAATATATTATTTTAGCTCATATGTATATATATATATAAAAGTTTCTACATTCTTTAAAAATTATTAAAAAATAAATTTATTAAAATACTTTTTATAAAAAAGTAAAATTAAATTACATAAAATAAATATTTTCAATTCTAGAATAATTAATAACAATATAATAAAATTATTATTAATTTTTATTATATTTATATCAATTTCATGACTAATTAATTATATATATTATATATATATATATATATATATATATATATATTAATTTTTTTGTTTTTATATTATATATAAAGCTATTAATAATCATTTTTATATATTTATATATATATATTTACGTGGCGATTTTTTATTTAATTAATAAATAATATATAATTATATTATTAAATAAAATTTCTTTATAATTATTTAATAATATATGATTAATTAAATTAATGACATAAGGTTTTCCATTAATCAAATCCTACTATTTTAAAATTCTCATTATTTGATTTATTGTTGAATTTCTATATTTTAACAGAAATTATTATTTAATTTTTATATTTATTTGAAATATTATAATATATAAGATTCTCATGTTTCAATAATGATTATTATTCTATATAATTAAAAGTTAATTTTTTATAATAATTAATTTTTTCCAAATTCTTAAATTAGGGAATAAAGAAATAATACGTATATGTATAATTGAAACTCAATTAATGCTTAAAAATATCTAATAAAATTAAATTTAAAGTTATAATATTATGTAATTAATAATATCATCATATTAAAATTATTTAAAATAATTTAAAACATCAGTTTTTTATCATTGAATGAGTATTATTTATATATTAATATCTTATTTTTTTATTGATTTTCCATTAAAATCAAATATATTTAAAATTAATGTACATATAATAATTTACACAAAAAATATAATAATAAAATAAATATAATAATAAAAAAAAATCAAACATATAAATATAAAATTTATAAATAGAATTTAATATATATATAAAATAATAACATTAATAATAATTAAAAAAAAAACAAAAAAACAAAAAAAACAAAAAAAAATGGCTCAATTTAAATGTTCGAATAATCTTGAAAAATTATTAGAACCTACAATAATATAAAAAATAGTGACACTATCTAAATAATATGATGGTATAAAAAACAAAATAATTAAAATAAATAAAAAAAAATAGCTATAAATCTTGCAAGCGGATTTCCTGATTGGGAAACACCTGAATTTGTAAGTAGAGGTTTATAAGAAGCAATAAGAAAATAAGAAAACTAATATTGTTTACCTGGAGGACATCCTGATTTTCGTGAATAAGTTGCTACTATATATTCAAAGAAGTTAGGATTTCCAATAGATCCAAATAAAAATGTATTTTTTTATTTTTTGTTATTTAATTTATTTATTTTTTTAAAAAAAGATATCTATTGGTTAAGGTGCTAGTGGATGTATATATGATATTTATACTGCTTTTTTAGATTAAGGGGATGAAGTAATAATATTTGATCCTCATTATGAGTTTTTGAGTAAAGAAGCACTTTTATTGGGAGCAGTAGTAAGACATAGTTCTCTAATTGAACCAAAAGACCATGAAAATGAGTAATTTACTATAAACTTTTAAGAATTTGAGAAATTATTTAATAATAAAACTAAAATACTCCTTTTAAATAACCCTTAAAATCCTGTAAAAATATAAATATATAAATTATAAAATTCAAAAAAATAAATAACAAAACTCAAAAAAAAAATAATATATATAAATAAAAAAATTTCTATTTTTTATTAAAAATAAAAAAAGACAGGAAAAATATTCACTTTCGAAGAATTAACAAAAATTAGTGAAAATTTTATAAAAACACCCTTAAGTAATCGTAATAGCTGATGAAGTATACGAAAATCTAATTTTTGACAATAAAAAATTCTACAGATTTGCCCAAATGCCTGGCATGTAATAAAGAACAATTTCTGTTTATAGTATGGGCAAGTTATTTAGTTGCACAGGCTGGAGAATAGGATTTGCTGTGGGTCCTGAATAATTAATAAAATATGTAATAGCTGCTCATTCTTACATTCTTATTCTGTAAATAGACCTGCTTAAGTAGCTTTATCTATAGGATTAGCCTAAGCCGAAATCCATATAAGGGATTTAATAATTATTATGAATATACTATAAATTAATTCGAGAATAACCGAAATAAAATACTTTAGGCATTTGAAACTATGAAAAATTATGAAGTGACTATGTTTGCTCCAGAAGGTGGTTATTTTATTATTGGAACTATGGAAAAATTTGTGCCTAAAATTCCTAAAAAATATTTCTACAATAAAGATGTGGAAAACGGTGAAAAACCTATAGGAAAAAAATTCGAAGAAATTGAAAATCCAGATGTCAGTCCTAATGTGGCTTTCAGTATGTATTTAATAATGGAAAAGAAAGTGTCTGTGATTCCTTTAACTTCTTTTATTAATAAAATAAAGGATGTAGCATTTAAGATTTAAAGGGAAAATTCTTCTTTAGAATAGCTCTTTGTAGATAGGAAAAAACTTTCGATAAAGCATTCTAACTCATGTAAAAATGAAAATAAATCAAAAAAATATTTCTTTTATTTTGGTTTTATCTAATTAATTTTTTTCTTTTAAAAAATATTAAATTCAAAAATAGTATTTTTTTATATTTTAACATTTATTTTTTTCTCTATTTTTTTTTTAAATACTCAATCTAGAGAAAAAAAAAAAAAAAAAAAAAAAGGCGAGAAAAAAAGTATTATGGCCTTTTTATTTTTTCTTAGATTGAGTTATTTTTAAAAAAAATTAAATAAACAATGCTAAAATGGCAATATTTTTATTTTATATATAACTATTTTAAAATTATAATTTAATTTTTTTTCATTTAAGCAATATATTAATTTCAAACAAAATTTTTGAAGTTATTTTTCTCATTAAATTTTTAAATAAAGCAAACTTTATTTCAGTAAGAGGTTTATAAAGAATTTCTTCGAATAATCCTTATTTAAAAATTTACTTATTAAATAAAGGATGTGCAAAACATCCATATTCATTATTTTTGTCCTTTAAAAATTATATATATATCCTAACTAATAATTTATATATATTTATTAAAATTTTCATTTTAAAAAGAAAACAGTAAATCTTTACCAAAGCTTTTCTTTAAAATTCCAGACTCTTTTTCATATTTTTTGTTTTATTTTATTTATTCTATCTTTACTATAAATATTCTAGTTAATATTTTAATTATAAAGTTTTTTTTTTTACGTTTTCTTTTTTAATTAAATTCTATCTAAAGCAATTTAATTTTCACCCTAATATCTTTCTTTTTAAGCAATTATTGATATAAATTTAATTTCTCAAAACTAAATTTGATTATATTTTTTCATCTTTAATTAATATCAATATGTTTTTCTTCTAAATTAATAAACAATAATTTCTATTATTGTCTTTTAATATACAAAAAACTGATTTTTTAAAAATGTATAGTTCTATAAACCTTAAAATATCTTAAACTAAAACTTCGTTTTAATTTTATCATTTTCATCTTCATTTTCCTCTCTTAATTATAAATTGTTTTTTTATATTTAAAATAAGGTTTTTTTATAATTCTTATCTTTTCTAAAGTTATCATTTGTTTTTTTTTATATAAAAAAATAATCAATTTCGATAATATTAGTCTATTTAGAATTTAAAATGAGAGGCTTTTATAAATGAAGATTGAATAAAGAGCTTATAAATTATCATTTATTTAAAAAATATTAATTTTGAAATTAATTTATCAATAAAATGTTTGTCAATCTATTTTTTTTTTCCTCTATATTTAAATTTAGTTTTTTTTGTTTTTTTTTCTATATATTTTCTAAATTTTTCTATAAAAATATAAGAAAGCTATTAATTTTCGTCTTTTTTTAATATCAAATATTCTTAAAATTAAATAATTTAATTATTATTATTGATTAAAATCTAAATAAAAATAAACAGTTATATATAGATAAGTTCTACTTAATTATGAATTAATAAACAAGCTTTTATTTTAAAAAACTATTTCTCCTTATAATTTATTTAATTGTATTATTCTTTTAATTTAAATTTAAATGTTTTTAAATAGATCAATATAAAGCTTTTTTAGAGTAAATCTTACACTTTCTTTATATTATTTTATATTAAAAAAATAAATAAATGTTTAAAACTACTAAAAATTATATAAATATTATAACAATTTATTATTAATTTAATAAAATATTTATCATAAAAAATACAAAACAAAAAAAATTATAAATAAATAATAATAATACTTCTTTTTTTTTTTTTTTTCATTTATTTTAATTCAAACAAAAAAATTAATTTTCATGTGAAAAATCCTTTACTTAATTTCCAAAAGAGAATTAATCTTCATCATATTCATAAGTATGCTTTTTTTCCTAAATTCGTTTTTCTAACTATTATATCATAATGTCATATTTCTTTCCCATATTTTTATAAGAGTTAAGCTTTTTCTATCCTTTATTGTATTCTTGTAATTTCTAATTATAAATCTTAGTCTAGTTTTTCAAAGTTTCGTATTGTTTTTGTATTTCTTAGTTGGTATATCTTTATATGAAATTAGCTAGTTATATATTTTCTAAGAAATCTTTTACTATATTCTTTTTAATTTAGTTTATTTACTTTTTTTTATTAGAGTTTTATTATAGTTGTTTGATTATTTCTTATTCGTCTTCTTAATTTCTTTTATAAATTTAGTATTTGCATGAGTTTATTATATTTATAAATGTTTATTTTTCAGACTTAGAAGTTATACTGTCTCGTATTTAACATAAAATAGAGTTAAACTTATTTATTTCTTCATTTATTGATTCCATTTATTTATATTAATTTTTTTTATTTTAGTTTTTTTTGTTTTATTTTTTTTTAATTTTTTGGTTTAGATACTATTATAGCAAAAACTAGCTAAATAAAAAATTATTAATATATTTTTATTTTTATGTGATTAAATTGTGTGAAATATAAATTAGTAATAATCTTAGTATCAAAATAGGGTATTTATCTAATTAAAATATGTTTCTTTTAAAAAAATATATAATCTAATAAAAAGTACAAAAAAATATCCTAAATATATATATATTTATAAAAAAAATGTTAATAATATAAATAAAATATCTTATATATTATATATTAAATCTTTTTATTTATTTATAAAAAAAAAAATGTTATAGTATTTTTTTTTTCCCAAAAATAATTATATTTCTTTATATTAAATAATGATTAAAGTTATCTATTTTTTTTAATAAAAAAGGCTAAAAATGCCATTTAACATTAATTATTTATTTAATGAAAAAATTAAGAAATTCAAATATATAAATAATTATAAATAATTATATTTCTTACAAAATAAAATAAAAATAGGAATTTTTAAAAATAAAAAAATAGCTATTATTTAAAAATACTAAACTATTTATATCTCATATATATTTAGAAGAGCTTTTTAAATTAAGCATTTCAATATTTTTTCCAGAGTTTTCATTAATACTATAATTAAACAATATATCTTTTAACCCAAGACTTTTTTTATCCTAATAAAAACTTTAATTTTCACTTGTATCTTTCATATTAACAATAGCAATATTATTTTATTAATTTTTAATCACAATAACTTCATCTTCATGAATATTTTCTATAGTTTTTTACATTTATAAAAATTTAATATATTCCTTATTTGCTTTTGTTTAAGTCGCAGGATTACATCTATCATATTCATAAGGAAACTTCATTCTAATTTCTGAGTATAATTTATCATTTTTTTTTATTTGTATTTTTTAATTATCCTTTATTCTATTAAATATCCACAAGTTGTCAAAAACAATCCGAATAAACAAAATTAATGATTGAAAAAATTGTATATATTCAAAAAACTATTTTATTAAATAGAAATTCTAAACCTATATTCTACAATTCCACACAAAAAAACAAATGGCAAAAGTACTAAACTTTTCAAAACTTTTTGAAAAATCTCTTCAGATAAAACTTATGGAATACAATGATGTCTTAAAAGTGTATATTTATCTAAAAAATGATTTAAAAAAAGTCCTATTAATTAAATTATTATTCCTACAGGAGCTACTTAGCAATACCAAGCTACCAAAAACAATGTTCTACCTAAATAAGCATCTATATTAAAAAATAATTAAAATAAATAAAAAATATATATAACATACATACAACTATCAGCAATATCTATGGGATGTCCTTCGTAAAAATAATTAACTTATTATTAAGTATAAGGGCATTCACTCTATTTAAAAGAATTAATATGCCATCTTTTATATAATTTATAGATTAATATCGGATCAAATATTTTCGCTAAAGGTGTTGATATAGTACTTGCAATTAAAATTATATGAATATCAAATATTAACATTTCCGAATTTTCTTACGGGGAATCGAAAATGCCATGTACGAGATAAGGCATAAAAGCTGCATTACAAAAATATAGAAAAATATATTTTTTTATATAAGAGCTTATTAGCATTGTTGTACTATCAAACTTCTGCATTTTCGTAAAAAAATATATTGAATATCTTAAAGATACATTAACTATTATTATTATAATGCTAAGAAGTCCTGATCTAATTTTCAAATAAACGGAATGTTCTATAAATCCTTCCTTTCTATAAGGATATATTTACTGGTTTACGAAAAATTAGATTTAAAAGCTTATATAGAATATTATTAAAGCTACTAAAATCATTAATGTATTGTTTAAAATATTTCTTTTTAAAGAAAAATCTAAATTTTTCCAAATAATATCTGTAGGGGCTGGTGCGGGTCTTATAATAAGGTGATTTTCTTAAAGTTTTAAAAAAGGATTTTTAATCCATTTAAAGAAAATAAATTGGAAAACATTAAAAAAGGTAAATCCATATTTTTTTATTAAATTATTTACTGGTTTAGTTTATTAAAAAGTAATAAAAACAGTATTTAAAGTATTATTTTATTCCCTTTTATAATCTTTTTAAAAGCTTTCAATAATATCATCGAAATAAATTATTTCTTTTAGAAGTTAATTTATTTTATTATCAAATTGGATTATTTTTATAGCATCTTAGATTGAATTTTCATTAAGTTTTTTTTTTTTCATTTTTAAAATATTCATATTATATATATTGTCCATTTTAGAATTAAAAGAATGCAAATATTCATCTATTTAATATGTAATATTAATCGAATGAATTTTAGATTTTACTTAATTCTAAAAAAAATCACGAATTTAAACTTCAGTAAAATCTTTGGGAAGATTTTGAACCATAATAGTGTATTAAGACGGACAATTAAAAAAAGAATTAAAATAGAAAATATATTTGGTCGTTTTTTTCTTAAAATAAATAACACAAACTAAAATAATAAATGCACTTAAAATATCTAACCATAATTAATCTTCAGAAAGGATTCCTTTTTTTTTATTTTCATCTAAATCTAATAGACATATACCTAAAAGAACATAACAATTAACTTTACAAAAAAATTAATTATGAATTAGTAATCTTAAAGAACCTCCTGTAATAAATATTATTAT